TCTCTCTCTCCCTCTCTCTCCTCTTTCCCATTAACTCTTTTAATAATCTTCCATCATTAATTATGCTATTAACTCTCTTCTTCAATAACTCATGTCACTAATTCTTTCTCATCTCCATTAAACTGTAATTATTAGTAAATATTAGTTATATTGAAATTGAAATATTCAATGATATATTATTGTGCTAAATAATCTACTTCCATTTAAAATTATAATCCATTTATATCCCATTTCAAAAAAAATAAAAATTAATTAACCATAATAAAAATTATTTAGTAAGTTACTTAAATAAAACAAAAATAATTATTAATTATTGTTATTGATAAAAATATTTGTACTAATATAATAAAAATAATTTAATTAATAAAAGGAATAAGATAAATTAAAATGAATATAAATTTAAAGTTAATATAAAACTAATACAAAATTATCTAAAAATTATTAGTTTTATAATTAAATTTTATTAATTTAAAACCAACTTAAGTTCCACAAAAAAATAAAAATTTATATAGTTAATCAAATTTCATAAGGAATTTAAATTTAATAAAAACTTAATATGCTTAAATAAAATCAAGTGTTAAACATAGTTTAGTTATTTTAAAATCAATTTAAATTTCATTTATAAATAAGGAAAATTATAAAAACCTCCTTGTGTTTTCCAACAATCCTATGAAACTCCCTTGTGTTTTGACCTTAACGAAAACCTCCCCTACTGTTTTGAGAAAAGGTGCAAATACCTTCCTTTAGTGAGCATTCCAAATAAAAAATGTTGATGTAATGCATTAATTTTACTTCACTAGATACAAAAAAAAAAAATACAAATTTATTTAGAGAATAGGAAACTAGCCACTTTCACAGACAACTTAGATTGTGACCGGATAAACTAGACATAACCCCAAAAAATAATACTTGAATTGAACTTAGATGAACACCATTTAATTGGAAATGTCATAGAGCTCCATCTTCAATTTTGTTGATGAATAAAGCCTATGCATCGCATGAGTCTTGACTAGTTCTTAGATAAGCTTAAAAGTTCCATCTTCAAATACAATGCTATGTATGTGCCCATTGAGCAAAAACTTTTGTGTAAATTACAAAGACCCCTGTACTATGGGGTTAGTAATGCTCCTTTACCTTTCATTTGCAACAAAGATCCCTTGAAATTTCACTATGATAAATACCCCCTTCATTAGAGTTCCATTAATTAATTTTGAAAAAGATTTTCATTTAGTTGCCCATTTCTTATTTATTTGAACAGTTTATGATTTGGTTAGTTTTCTAAATGTATTGAACTCCTCTCAATTGCTCTAATAAATTCTTAGATTTCTTGTTGGATACAATATTTCTTTTTTTTTTATAAAAAACAATGGATTTTATTAAAGTATTGAGAATTACAAAACAAAGGAGCTAAACAATCTTAACTCCCGAATACAACCAATGTACACCCAAAATGTAAAGCAATTACAATGCGACCCAAAACATAGAGTTTTTGTTCACCCCTTGCCTATCTAGACCATTTGCCAATGAATTTGCACTTCTCTTTACCCATGTACGTTGAATTTCAATGTCCTTAGTCAGCCACTTAAATTTCCTCTTTTCATTGTTGTAATTCTAGAGCCTAGAGTTGTCCTCTGTTAACCAGTTCACCACAATTTTAGAATCTCCTTCTATGATCAATTTATTAATTAATATTCATGTCCTTGACCTTTGTACCCCTTCAAGGGCTGCTAGTATCTTAGCTCTCAAAAGAATCTCCCACCCCAATTGGACCAGAATATATAGCTAATAGATTCTCTTTTCCATCTCTTATCACTCCCCCTATTCTGGAGGGCCTTGGATTGCCCATATTGCTGCCATCAAAATTCAGTTTAGTAAAACCATGAGGTGGAGGGGTCCAACAGGAACTTGAAGCCTTTTTAGTTGAAGCTGATTCTGCAATCTCCTTCCAATTCCTTAGCAACTCATCAAATGAGAAATCTACAAACAAGTCCAAAGTTTTCAACCAATGTATCACCCTAATATAAATAACCTCCAAAATTACTTCCAAGCTTCTCTCCTTATCTAAAAAAATATGTGAATTATTCTCCTCCCAAACAGTCCAACAAACTGTACCCTTAATACATCTCCACATAGTCTTAGCCCTTTTTGTTGACTAGTTAGGCATGGAAGTGAATAAGCTTTGCACAATCAAAGGGGGAGTCCACTTGCACCAAAACAAATAAGTAAACCATTCTCAAATGACTTTAGCAGATTGACAGGAAATTAGTAAATGGTATCCAGACTCACCATCATATTTGAGGACACACCAATGAGGAGACAAACAACTATTAGATATTTTCTTTAAAGTAAATTGCTTATATTAACTCTTTCCAGAAAGGCTTCCCAACAGAAACTCTCAACCTTTAGAGGCATAAGTTGACACCACACCTCTTTAACAGGAAATGACAATTTAGTAAAAGAAGGTTGTATTAGGGCTTAAAAGAAAGAGGCACAAGTGAAGGAACCCAAGGGAGTGAGTGTCCAAATTCTAAGTTCCAGCCGAACCTAAAAGTTGAGTTGGAAGGTACAAGAAAGAAGGAAACCGGTTCATTGTTAATGGTAAATGTAGCAAAAAGAGTCGGAAACTGGTCTTTTAAAGAAGTACCCCAACCCAAACATGTTCCCAATTTTTAATGAAGTTGTCTGAATGCAAATCATACCTAATCTAGGGAGAGAACAAGGGCAAAATAGCTTGAATGGCTTTCTAAGGAGATGCTCTTGTAGTCCTTACCATAATTCCAGAGTCCCATCCATTATTTGCAACCCCATGAATACTACCCACTATCTTAACCCAAAGTTTTTCTTTCTCCAATGAGAATCTCCACAACCATTTCCCTAACAGTGCCAAGTTCCTATTCCTTATGTTCCCAATACCCAAACCTCTCTCCTTCTTACTCCTACACACCACCTCCCACTTAACCCTATGGTCATTCTTCTCCTCCCCTGACTCCTAGAGAAATTCACTCATTAGTTTTTCTGACCTACTAGCCACTCTAATCGGAATCTTAAAGATTGATAAAAAAAAAGACATGAATGTTAGCTAATGTATACTTAATTAGAGTGATTCTCCCTCTAAGAGACAAATAATTTTTCTTCCAGTTAGCAAATTTATTTTCAAACCTCTTCATAATCGGAGCCCAAAACTCACATTTCTAAGAATTATCTCCCAATGGCAAACCAAGGTAGTTAAAGGGCCAATTAGAGCACACTCCATAATGTCTGCACACTAAGATACCTCCCCCCTCCCCCATGTTAACTCCAACTATACAACTTTTCTCAAAATTCACTTTAAGGTTTGAAATTTACTCAAATAGTTGTATAGTGAGCTTCAGGTTTTTGGTCCTATTGATATCAAAAATTTAAGGTCTTGTTTGTTTTTCTTGATTTATTGAAGAAAGGAGTTAATAATTTCTATATTTTAAGATGAAGAGAGACATTCATTTGAAGTTCAATTGGATTATTTTTGCTTTGAATTATGATGAATTCAAAGAAACTTGTTTTTCCATGCCAATTAAATGATTCTTGGTATTTTATTTGGTTTTGTTTGAAAAAAAAGAGGTATTTTTGGATCAATTAGGGTTTAAGAGAAAATGGAAGAAAAAGAAAATAAGGAGAGTTCAGTGAATATTTTGATAATTTAGTGCATTACACCATCTGACTTAACGATTGAGGATATTTGTCACAAAGTGAAAGTTAATGAGAACTTTGTTGCAAATGAAAGTTCAGGGATAATTGTTATTGACCCTACATTACTAGGAGGGGGTATTTTTAAGGGCAAACTTTTTAAACCACTCTTATGGTTTAGCTAATTGACTAACTCTACTCCTACTGTTTACAATGTGACATTATGTGACTGATATATTTTTTTAAATCCCTAAAATACCCATATGTGAGAAAGAACTTAGGGAAGTTGCTACTTTGAACACCCATTACTATCTTCTCAGCTTAGGTCCCAGAACAGATGGTACCGGTTCTAGTGACTGAAGGATGGTGGTCACTGGAACCGGTATTTTAGGGAGGATCCAGCGCTAACCCACTTAGGAATGTTGTTTGTATGGGAACTGGCAAGTTCACCATGGTTTTGCAGGGAACTCAGGAATATCAAAAACATTATAGTGGAGCACTACCAAACCTAAGCTCCCAAGTTTTATTATTCATGACAAAACTCGATTGTTAAAAATCTTGCTTATATTTTCTGGTTATTTGAAAGTAATATGACATCTTGATCAAAACAATAATTATAGTAATAGTTTTATGCTTGATATATGTCAAGTGATCCACGGGCGATGGGCTATGTTGGGTGCATCACCCTTGATGTTCTTGAGAAGTGAGTTAGAGTAGACTTCAAGGAACCAGTTTGGTTCAAAGTTGGAGCTTAGAGATGGTGGCCACACTCATGGCAACATCCACCAGCTCCATGAGTGTGGCCACTAATCAAAACCAATCAACCCCCTCTCTGTCTATATCACACTTCCTCTACTGATTTCAATCACACCCACCACCTTCTCAAAATCTATTCCTTTCGCTCAATCAGGAGATTCCATCACCACGGACTTCTTGACAACAAGTGGTGGAGGGATAGCCAGCTTGGTACATAGAGGATGAAATGGGCAAGAGTTTACATCCATTCAAAATTTTTATTGATTGGGTTTTATTTTGAAAATTTGAGGAATAGCAGAGGGAAAATTTGATATTTTGTTTTTTGTTAGCACTCAAGGACATATCAATTGTCAAAAAACTTAAGAGTACTTTAAGGACCTATTCGTTTGCTCTGAAATCTAAATAATTACATTAAGAGATATATTAATATTGACGAACTTTTTTTCCCGACCATCGAGGCCGAGGGATTATCCATTGTTCAGGTCGCCCCGAAAGACAATAGACCATACTTTGGTTCAACCAGAACCGAAAAATATCCGGTGCCTTTTCTTTAAATGGATAAGGTAGCGTAGCTGCGGCGGGACTGAAGTGAGAGGTGAGAGGTGTGAAATTTTGGAGCGGGAGCATAAATCATAAATCCTTGCGCTCTAACTCGGAAGTCGGAACTCGCAACTCAGCTCGCCCCTGACCCCTGTATGCGGTAAGCATTAGCATATGGTGATGACTGATGATGGTTTTGTGATAGTGTGATGCCAATGGACGTTGCGTTTTGCCTGAAGATGGAATGTCTTCCTCTTCTCCCACCTTCTCCCCTCAAGTCCCCGTCTCTGCAACATCAACCAATTGCTCCAGCGCCCACGCGAATTCGCTCGTCATCCCTTAAACCTCTCGCTGCTCAACAGCGAAGGAGCTCTCTCTCTATACGCACGTCAAAATCAACAACCACTCTCACTCCAACGACAACGCCCGCTGCTCTCCCTCCTAAAAAGAAGGTTTCTCCTAACTCCTCTCTTTTGACCCAATATCCCTAAACCCTGAACTCTTAAGAAGGAAACAAAACTAGGTTTTAACTTTCGAAGTGTTTTAATCTCTTTCTTCATTTTGCCATAGGTTCTAGTTCCAATTGGATTCGGCACGGAGGAAATGGAAGCCGTTATCTTAGTCGGTGTTCTACGCCGGGCTGGCGCTGACGTGCTCGTTGCATCGGTCGAGTCGCAGCTCGAGATTGAAGCCTCCTCTGGAACCAGGTTGGTCGCTGACACCTGCATCTCAACCTGCTCGAACGACATCTTCGATCTCATTGCTTTGCCGGTGAGTCTTCTAGTTCTGCATTTCATTTTAACTGGATTATATCTTTTCATAGGTTATGCTGAGATTGACTAACCATTTCTTCTTTTCCTTATCCAATAACCTACCATCCAAATAGCTACTAATTGTATATTTACTAAAAAAACCAATTGTAATAGCTCTTCTTGCGAACTTCTATTTTTGATGGTTAATGTCGCAATGTTCATGGAGATACGCCCCTTATTTTATTTGTTTATTTCTTTTAGGGGGGAATGCCCGGCTCTGCACGACTCAGAGACTGTGAAATCCTCCGAAAGATTACGTGCAAACAAGCTGAAGAGAAAAGGTTATATGGTGCCATCTGTGCTGCTCCAGCAGTCACACTTCAACCGTGGGGTCTTCTTAAGAGGAAACAGGTATGATCTCTTATTCTTTGTGCGTAGGAGCTTTCCTTTGGGGCTAGCTTAAATTCTCTGTAAATCAATTTATGTTGGTGGGCTCATTTTGATATAGTTTGCTACTGCAAGACAACTTGTCATCCGGCGTTTATGGATAAGCTTCCAACGTTCTGGGCAGTTAAATCCAACAACCAAGTGTCTGGAGAGCTTACAACCAGCCGTGGCCCTGGAACAGCTTTTGAGTTTGCTCTATCTTTAGTAGAACAACTTTTTGGGGAGTCTACTGCCAAAGAGGTTGAAGGAACGCTAGTAAGTGTTGTAACTATGTCCTTTTATGGTTGCTTTTATTAAAATTTAATATTTTTGAGCCACATTAAGGGATTTATGCTACATATTGATATATAGTTCTTCTATTCCTGGTTAAACAAAAAAATGCCATCACCCATTGTTGGTTCCAGCTATCCGAACTCCTAGGAGGGATGTACTGGATACGGGTCTAACCTTTATCAGACTTTTGCAAAAAGTGGCAGGTCTTGTTTCTTGAGCCTTCATTATCATGCTTGTTAACATGAGATTTTACCATTACACCAAGTAATGTTCATTGAAAGAATACAGAAATGTAAGAGATTGGAGAATTTGAATTAGATATAGGAAAAAATGTTGAATTGTTCATTGGTTTGCTTTGAAGTCGATGGCTATTCATGCAATATTTGATATCCTCAATGTTTTGATATTCAGTCCCTGAGGCCCCTTGAAGCTGTAGAGTTTGGTGTGTCTTGTGAGCATTACAAGCCTTCACACACACACACACACACACACACACACACACACACACACACACACACACACACACACACATATATATATTAAGTATCCTTCCAGCGTTGCATAACCATTTTACTCCTAAATTTAGATACCGAGCAGGATACTTTGTGCAGATTAGAAGGTTCTAGACATTTTCAATCTCTCTTGTTCTTCCATATTTACTGTCAACAATTTTATAGTGAAGCGTACAGGTTTACTGGGCAGCATAAGGTCAATTATGAATATACTGTAAAGCTATTAAGTGCCAAAATACATAAAATCCTGCCAGAAGTTCTTTGATAACAGATCTTTGCACATAAATCCAGTTACAGTTTCTCACATTTTCTGCAAACTCCATGACAATTCATCTTATGCTGATGATGCTTTTCTGGTGTAGCTGTTCCATGCTCATGAAGATAATCCTAGAAAGGAAGAATTCAACAAAATTGAGTGGTCTGTTGACCATATCCCTCATGTAAGTATTTTATTTATTTATTTGCATTCTACTCTATGGGATCATTATATGTTCTATTGATAAAAAAATCATTTATATGTTCTTGCTTACATACCAGAGTCTGGTTGTTTATTCACTGTATTATGTCTTTTTTTATTCAAAGAACCTTTCCTTTGTTTCTATATTCAGTTACAATTCAAATTTAGGGATTTCTTTTTCCTCTCTCTTCCTGGTTTAGGCTTTTGTTCTGTGCAACTAGAATGCAACCTCTGAGCATATGTCAGAAATTTCCTTATTATCATTAGGATCTTTGTGCAAAGAAATAGGTATGGTGATTCTAATATCTACCAAGTGCTACAGTTGTAAAGTTTACCACTGTATTTTTGGACTTTTAACTAGATAAGCATGATGCCAACTCAAATGTTTTTGTAACAAAGGCTATTCATGGTAATTCAGAGCATGAAGATCTCTATTACATTATATTCTAGTTCACTGAAATTTGGAGTTACTCTATTTATAAAAAAATTGGAGTTACTCTTAGACACCATGGTACAGCAGGACTGGTAGGTTTATGCCATTACTATGACCTTTTTTGCAATAGATCATAGATCAGAAAAGTAAACATTCTTTTAAAAGAAATGGAATATTAGAACCAACATTTTTTTCTCTCAAATCTCAAACCAGCTGATTTCAAACTCACCATTGAGATATCCTATATTGTGTTAACAATGGACATGGCACTAAACAGAACAGAATGGCAAAACAGTATTCATGTAGCCAGCTCCATATAGTTAGGATAAGGCTTAAATGATGGTGATGATTTATTTCCACTTATGTTTTGATCCATCCTTTCCATCTATGTCATACAACTTCAAAACCTTATCTCAACCATTTCGGATCGGTTACATGCATCATGTTTGTATTCTGCTAAAGGTTAAGTATGTACATCATGTTATATTTGCAAAACAGTATTCATGTAGCCAGCTCCATATAGATAGGATAAGGCTTAAATGATGGCGATGATTTATTTCCACTTATATTTTGATCCATCCTTTCCATCTCTGTCATACAACTTCAAAACCTTATCTCAACCATTTCGGATCGGTTACATGCATCATGTTTGTATTCTGCTAAAGGTTAAGTATGTACATCATGTTATATTTGCCTAACCTGTTTCCCTTTTAGTGTTCACTTTGCACAGAATCAGTCTTTACTAGTTCCATAATCAGCTTTGCTGTTATTAGGGGTGAGCATGGGTCGGTTCGGTTCGGTTCCATGGCAGAACCTGGAAACTATCCTGTAAGGGTTGGTTCCAGGTTTTTGGAACCGGAGCCTACTCTGTGAAGGTAGTTCCAAGGCTACCTGTGAAACTCATTATTTCTTTACTCCCCCCACCCTTCCAAAAAAAACACTTGATTTTCAATAAATATAATATATAGTTTAAAACTTATATTATCTTTATCGATTAAATTGAGTAACTTAATATGTAGATTATCATTATATGGTTCAAAACTTATAATTTAAATTTAAACTTTGTAAGTATTACCTTTTACAGTTTTACATTATGTATTGTACACAATCAAATATTAAAATGAAAACAAATGAAATAACTTAAGTAACTCAATGGTCAAGTGAGACCATGGCTTTTGTAAGCATGAGTGCTTGGGTTCAAATCTTCACATCCCCGAAAGTATTTTGGTGTTTATTTAAAGGCAAGTTCCACCAAGGCCATCCAAGGCCGGATCATCGGGTCGGTTCAGGTAGGGTAAACCCCTAGATCCTGAAACCAGCCTGGGTGGGGGTTCGTTCCAAGAATTTGGAACCAGACACTACTCTGTAACAGATTGGGTAGGGTCAGTTCATGGCCAGTTCAAGGTCAGTTCCATTCGGTTCCGGGTAGAACCTACCCATTTCCACACCCCTAGCTGCTATGCAGCTAAGGCAGCTAGACTATACCTTGGTGTTTTGTCCTAGCAAGGGCAAGTTTATGCATAGGCAAGGAACTGAAGCATTGCCTAGGTGACAAAGATGAATGGATAAATATGTACATATCTTACAATATATGTATATAACTGTACATTAGTATCATACAATTACATGTTATAATAAAAATTAACTCAGCAAATGACCGAATGACAATTTAAACTTGTTTTTCAAAAGGAAACTCACAGTTTTTATATAACCTTCCTGGTTTAAAGTGAAACATACACATATACATAGGGATTATGAGCCCGGCTTTTAGCTCTTTGTAAAAATGGATTAACATGCATTCTGATTAGTATATAAAGGGACACAATTACTTATTTACCCATATTGAGATGTTTATTATATGCCTGCCCAAAGCAATTGGCCTCCAAGACTCCTAGATGACACTTCAAGTACACTGATTAGCTGCATGGTCAAATAATTTTCTTTCAACTTGTTTATTTTGTCTCCTATGACCCAGGAAGTCGAACACACACTATAGTATAGCACAAGCCTAAGACTGTAGTTGGATCAAGATGGAAATGGAATAGGTGAATTTCAGGATAGCCAATATCAAAGTTCCTTTAATCTGCTGTTTTGTGTTTGACTTCATGATGGACTGAAATTCAGAAGCTAACAGATTTTAAGCCTTCAATTCTGCATGTATTATTTCACAGTTCTTGAAGTTGTGCATGTGCATTGGAGTGGTGGGGGTCATTGATGTGGAATTGGGTCATGAGTGGAATGCAGTTCCATTTTCACTTCCAAGACCAAAAACAGCCTAAAAGACTTCAAGAAGTCATTTGGGGATTGCAAAATTACATCATCATTATGAATTGAATTTGGATCTTGATGAAACAACACTCTGATGAGAGGTCCACTAAGGGAATTCTTTTCTTATTGTAGGTAACTGAGATATAATGGAAGATAATTCAGTTCCATTAGGAGCTAGGAAAAGTCCATTATGCGAAAAGAAAGATGTATGGAATTGATTCCTAATCTAACAATTTTTTATTCATTAAATTGAATAACAAATTTAACTGTTGTGGGGCCAGTTAACCCTTTTTCCACTTTCCAGTCTGGTCAAGCTCTTAAAACCATTCTTCTATTCAACCTCTTTGTGGACAATTCATGTTTTTTTCACCCATAGGGCAGCCAATGAGATAATTGTGAATAGCTTCTTCATCTATTAGTTGGTTCTATGGAGTGAAATTTAGATAACCCTTAACGTATGCTCAATCCAACTCTGATTCTGATGTCCAATTGTGCATGACAGAGCTGCAGAGACAGCATCAGCTTAGCCTTGTTTGTGTATCCACCATTTCCTTTCTTGGCTATGGAGAATGGAATCCTTTGTGGAACTGTAAAACATAGAGTAATGAAATATAGTTGATCACTATTCTCAGTATATAGCAAGCGTAAAGATGCCATTGAAGTCAGACTCCTTGTACATGCTTATGATGATATCAGTGCATCCACTATCTAAACTTGTCCATCAATTGTCTCAGGTAAGAAAAAAGTGTGCCAATCATTGATGTCCCTGGCTTGAAGTTAATCGACTTTCTGAAAAAAAAAGTTTGTGATCGTTGTATAAGTTGCTCTACAAATCTCATTTGTATGTTGAATTGTACCTGCGGTTTTACAGAAAGAAATCATTTTCTTTGGAGCTAAATTTGATTGTTTTGCCAGTTGGTATTTCTGGAAGTTGTTAAATGATTTTGCAACTCATCTTTTCCAAATTTGTATCTTTATTCTAATTTTCTCTTTATTCAGAATCAGAAGAGAACCATTTATAGTGGGATGTCAGGATGAGGACTAATTTTGTCCATTGTGACAGAAATGCTTTCATTGTGCTGTTGGGAGTCGTTCATCAGCTACCTTTCTTATTAAAAGCTACCTAAAATAATTCTTATCATTCATCTACTTTGCAGGTTCTTATTCCAGTTGCAAATGGTACTGAAGAGATTGAAGTGGTAACTGTGGTTGATATTCTAAGACGTGCTAAAGCAGATGTTGTAATTGCTTCAGTTGAAAAATCTGTGCAAATTGTTGGATCTCAAGACACAAGAATTGTTGCCGACAAGACCATTGATAGTGTTGCTGACTCAATATATGACCTGATCATTCTTCCGGTGAGATAAATATGCTACCATCTAGCGTACAACAACTAATATTCATCTAATTAATTCTTTATATATATATATATATATATAAAAGACCTGTAGTGTTAAAATAAACTTCTTTCAATGTCTTCACCAAAAGCTGGTAAAAAGAAATGGAAAAACATAAAACATCTGTGTTCTTTACCTAGTGAGCGAGAGAAATGTGGTGAATATGGAGACGAGTTGGTTCTCTTTCTCCCCCGTTTTCTTCACCTAAATCGTCTATTCTTCGCCAGTGTTCATGGAGTCTGATGACTGTTAACACCGGCGACTGCTAACACCAGAGAACGGTTCAACGACAAACCCAGAAAGAATAAGAGGAGAATCAGAACTAGAAAAAACTGAGATGGAAAAGAGGTTTGTTAGAGTTAGACGAATGAGGGGTAGATTAGTCTTTTCAGTCAGTTTACGCTATGTGATGTGGCAGTTCTAATTAGACTTCCTGTCCCATACTTAAGTGGGGGCAGTTTAGTCTTTGTACTTAATTAAACCCCTAATCCACATTATGGTCGACTGGTAGGGTTTAGGCTACCAAGTTTGACTGATTTGTTCTTCTTCTTCACTTTCTTCTGGTTTGAACTGTAGAAGCCACTGAACAAACATGGTATCAGCTAAGTCTATTCCTCTCTGATCGTGACTTTTTTTTCCTGGACTGAGAATGGGGAACACAGACTCGACCTAGGTCTGAGAACACTTCAGTCCTTCTTCCTCTGCCCAGAACTTGATTGCTTTTCAAGAAAATAACTTCAGAATTAAGTGGATGGTTGACTGAAGCTCTCCAGTGAGGTTGGTTACTTTTTTTTTTGTGTTGTTAGTATTTTTGGGTTGAAAAAACTTCAAAATCTGCTCGGACTGATCAGAACCTAAAGAACTAGGTTGTTTGTAGCCTTGGTTCTCGGCAAAAAGGTCCAAGAACAGGCTGTGTTTATAGTGACCGAATGGTGTAAGGGTATGTTTGCCCTTTTGTGTGGGTCTGTAGATTCAAATCTATAAGGTTTTGAAACCTTTGTTGACCTGAATTGACTGACAAAGTACTGCAGTGGTAGTATTGATGGTTTTGGACTTATGTTGCCTTTGAAAAGGTCAGATAGATCTGTACCATGTGTGACAGCTATGGTCATGTGGTGGTGCTTGTGATGCTCACCCTCTATTGAGCAGCTTCAAGAGGGCTCGTATGTGGTTAGTGAGTTACTGAGTTACTGTCAATGTGGCTTATGGTTCTGTGTAATCAGTAGTGGTGTGAATAAGAACAAAAGTTTGTGTTTGTGGTGGAAGGAATGGCCGAATTGTCTACATCAATTTTCTGCATTGTTGTTGTTGTTGTCTGAATACTGGTTTACCTTTTGTTCTTTAATCTGAATGGTAGTTTACATAGTAGTGATTGATTGTGATTGGTTGTGAGCCTATAATCTGTGTTTGGAGATTGTTGTAGTGTCTGGAACATCAAACTCCTGACAGCAGTATTCGGTTGGTGACTGGGGATTCAGCATTAGAAGTAGCATTGGGAGGGCATCATGGCAGCAATTGGAGATGGTTGTAGTGATCAGAAACCTAGTGTGGTGATTTCCTCTGACTATCTGGGTGTGTAGATGACTTCAATTTAACTTAATGGTGAGAATTATGTGCCATGTCCAAGTTGGTGGAAGTTTTTCTCAAGGCAAAGAGRAAAGTGAAGCATGTGAAAGAAGATAAACCATCAACTGACTCTTCAGGGTTTGATGATTGGGAAAAGGAAGATGCCCAAATCATGACATGGTTATAGAATAGTATGGAACCCAAAATAAGTGCCAACTTTATGTTCTTAGATACAACTAAGGACATATGGGAACATGCCAAGAAGCTTTGTTCTGGGTAGGATGATACTACGAGGGTATATCGGTTCTATTAGGAGTATTTTGATCTATAGCAAGGGAATAAAACCCTAGAAGAGTACTATGCCAGTATGAAAAACCTCATAAATGAATTAAATGTCTATCATCCCCTAATTCCGGATGTTAAGGTTCAGCAACAACAGAGGGAGCAACTGGATGTCACTAGGTTCTTAGTGGGGCTGAAATCAGAGTATGAACCAGTTAGAGCCCAAATATTGGGTGGCTCTACTCTTCCTACACTCGAGGAAGTATTTGCAAGGCTCACAGGATCTCTTTGGGTTCTACAGAGAGTAGCCAGAGGAGGGGGGGGGAGGACATGGATCTCGAGGAGGTCGTGGTGGTTCCACGTTTGGCCGTGGTGGTGGTCGTGACTCAGGGGGAGGCCGTGGTAAAGGAAAATGTAACTCTACTAGGAAGTGTACCCACTGTGGCAGGAAAGGACATTCGGTGAATTTTTGTTATGATCTCCATGGCCCATCTTCTACATGGGCTAATCATGCAGTAGCTGATGGGGGTTGATGTCAGTGATAACCAACAGCCAGATCTCACAAAGGATTAAAGTATCGTTATCGGGTATCGTATCGGACCACTTGGATACGGATATAGATACGAATATGCTTTGGAAACGCATGGATACGGATGAAAAAACATGGAGACGCTTGGATACATCAAGAAATGCATATAAACTAGCGGGGACCCGTGCGATGCACGGGAAAATCTGAAAGATTTAACAATTTTATTTACTATTAATTAATATTAAATTAATAATCAAAATTTGTTGTTAATTAACTAAAAGTATTTAAAGTTGTTATTAATATCTAAAATTTTAATAATTTTATATTTCATTTAATGTTGATTTATAGAAAATAATTATTGTTAATTGAATATGAACAAATATTTTTTAATAAATTTAGTTTTATTAATAATTTGTAGTAATTTAATGATTTTTATTTTTTTAAATGAAATTTTGATTAACTTTAAATAAATAAAATAATTACAAAAGCTAACATTTTTTATTAATTCCACTAATAATTAACAATTATATAGGAATGGCAACGGGGTGGGTTCAGGGCGGGGCACCCCATCCCTGTCCTTGCCCCATAGTCAAGACACTCTACCCCATCCCTACCCTGTCCCCAGTGTCAGGCGGGTTCAGAGCAAGGCAACCATTCCTCAATGTTGAGCGAGTTCAGGGGCAAGGCACCCCACTCCTCATTAAGGATGGGGAATCCTCGAATTTCCCCGCCCCGTCTCCAGTATTGGGTGGGTTTAAGTAGAGGTGTAAATTGGGTCGTGTTGGGCCGACACGACATGACCCGCATGTGGCCCGCTCAAAGTGCAAGTTGTGCCATGCTATAATTAATTCTGTTAATTAATAAATACAACATTTTTTAAAATACTGTTAGTTATTAAAAATTATGAAAAATACTGCAATTATAAATACTTTTAATTAAATACTGCAATTAATAATGCTAATTAATTAATACTGAATTTTTCTAATACTATTAATCAATAAATACTATATTTTTCAATAAATACAGTATTTTTTAATACTATTAATACTGTAATTAATATTTTTAGTTAATTAATACCGTAATTTTCTAATATTGTTAATTAATTAATAATGTTATTATTATTATTATTATCATTATTTTGTTTTTATGGAATAAAATTGCAACAGCAAATTGAAAATAACAAAATAAAATTTAATTACACATCAATCATATAAATAACATAAATAATCCAAACATTTTCAAATAGATGGCAACATCAAAAAACACAAAGTATCTAATAAAATTGCAACAACAAATTGGAAACACATCAATCACATAAATAAAGCAAGTATTTTCAAATAGATGGCAACAACAAAAACACAAATAATCTACACCAAGCATTCTAAACACAAAATTATAATAAATAAATGCTGTAATTAATTAATACTGTTAATTATTAAAAATACTGTAATTATGAAAATACTATTAATTAAACCAACCCGTACTTGTATGGGTTGTAGAACCTCAAAACCCATTCTTCAAGCAAAAAAACCTTCCCCGTTGCTGCTGTTAGGGAGGGTAGGGATGGGTACCCACCGAATAGGGTAGAAATTGCCATCCCTAGTTTAAATATTGCATTCACTTGTCACTATATCAAAGCATGAATTGCCATACCTAATTATTAAAAATACTGTAATTATATAAATATAATTAAGTGTAATTTTTTAAAAATAATTACTGTTAATTATAAAATAACATATAATGTAATTAAATATAATTTTTTAAAAATAATTACTGTTAATTATAAAATAACCATATGTTATGATTTTTTTAATTATAAAATAATTACTGTTAACTATAAAAATAATTACTTTTAATTTTCTGATAACATTGTTAGTTACATATTTTCGGATTTTCAGAAACATAGTTACATTGTTTTTGGTTATTTTTTTTGAAAATATTGTTATTTAATAAATACATTATTTTTAAACAAATACTGTAATTAACAAAATATTGTATTTATTAAAAATACTGTTAATTAATTAAATACTGTAATCATGAAAAATATTGTAATTGTTAAATTATTGTTCATTAATAAATACATTATATTCAATAAATACTAATTATTAATACTTGTAATTAATAAATACTGTTAATTATTAAAATAAATACATTATTTGTAATAACTACTGTAATTACTAATACTTCTAATTAATAAATACTGCTAATTACTAAAAATACTGTAATTATTTAAATGTAATTTTCTGATAATTTTAAAATAACCAAATGTTGATTTTTTGTTAATTATATAAATAATTACTGTTAATTTTCTGATAATTATATAAATAATTACATCAATGTAATTACTGTTAATTATTTAAATGTAAATAAAGGTAATTTTCTGATAACTACTGTTAAATATAATTAAATACTGTTAAGTAATAAATACTGTTCATTAATTATAACTAAATACTGTATTTAATATTAATTAATAAATACTGTTAATTAACTAAGTACTGTATTTATTGAAAATACTGTTAATTAATAAATACTGCAATTTTTAATAATTACCGTTTAAAGTATTTAACTATAAATAAATACAGTC